AATTTTTGATTGACCCGGATTAGTCCGAACAAAACAAATATGATTTTCTCAAAATTATATATTTTTGAGTTTCAGCCTTTTCTACTGCAATGGCTCTATATAATATATATCTATGTTTGTTGCTTATATATATCTATATGTTTGTTGTAACAAAATAAATATAAACAATGCTAACTATTTTGGTAAGTAATATATCAATTTTTGGTAAATAAGCTAAATCACCTCTTTTTACAAAATTTCTCTAAAGAAAAGTAAAAGGTTAATAAGAATATATGAGGTTTTTTGTAAACTTTATAGTTGTATAGTTGTTTTTTCAAGCTTATACTATCTCAATAAGAACCTAACCACTACTTGCTTTCAGAATAAACCTTCTGGTTTGGATATCAAAATTTTGAGAAGTTCAGCAATAAATAAAAACTTGATTTTAAGAAAAACCACCTAAGTTATATTTGCTTCTTGATATTTCACATCTTTTAAGCTTTGTTAATAGCAATCTACTCAGAGATAAATTTAGTTTCTAGAATAAACCTTCTGGTTTGAATACCAAATATCTTGAGAAATTCACCAAAAAAGAGAAACAAAACTTAATTCCAAAAAAACATCTAAGTTATATTTGCTTCATGATATTTCATATCTTTAGGCTTTGTTGACTACTTATACAAAAATAAGGTTAAGAATAATATTTGTCTTAGACCTTTCTATATAATTTTTCTGTAGTTTAGTTTTTTGTTATGTTGACCAGAAGATCAATAAACTAAAAATTAGCTTGGTATGGCCTTATTTAATAATATATATAGTTAGAGCAGTTTTGATAAAGTAATTATCTAACAATTTTTTCTAATTATTAAAAATAAATTATTTTTTAGCTATATTAATATTTTAATAGTAAGATAAAAATAAGCGGTTTGATCTAAATCTTTATATTTTTTAATTCTTTTTTAGATTTGCTTCTACTTTAATAATTTTATCTTTTAATTAATTTCTGTTTTTTTTTTTTTATAATTATTCTTTTAATTATTTTTTTTGTTGCTATTATTGTTATTCTGTTTTTTAAGTTTTTGTTTCTTTGAAATATCAGTATATTTTTTTTTACAATTAGTAATTAAATATCTTAAATTGTTACAATAATAGTCTATTAATATGTTAAATTTGATTAATGTTGATTATATTTTATTTAGTAATACCGAATGCGGGGTACGAATACTAGCCACTAAATTTAATATTTCAAATTTAAATACTTTATAAGCTTTTAATAAAAATAAAAAATTATATATTCTATAATAAAGAGTATTACATTTCATTAATAATTTTTTTTAAAAAAAATTTTTTAAGTGTAAAACCACAACGTTATAAGTAGAATCGATATCCAACACGCATGATTCTTTTTTGCCACAGCTAATATACTGGTATAACTATTAATAATTTAATTTTCATTTAACCACTTTCTTAATTTTTGTATTTGTTCCAAAACTGTTGCTCTACTTGTCCCGCCTAAACTTGACCTATTTTCAATACTTTTTTCATAATCCCAAATTTCAGTAATATCTTGTTCGAAAGATGGATGAAGTTGTTTGAAATGGGATAGTTCAAGATTAGCCATTGTAATGTTGCGTTCTTCAGCCGCTCTAACAGCAGCACCTGCTACATGGTGTGTTTCGCGAAAGGGAACCTAAAAGGGAATTAATAAATAGGAGAAAGCAAAAAGATTCAACAAAGTCAAATAAACCCTATATACATACCCCTTTTCGTACAAGGTATTCTGCAACATCAGTAGCCAACATATCAATGCTTAAGTTTTTCTTCATATTATCTGGATGAATCTACATCGAGACAAAATTAAAGCATATTGTTAACTTTTATAAATTATTTATTGTCGGGGATGATGCTGAAATTTTGACTTATTTTATTAGGAAATTTAAATTTTTTGGGGGTGTTTTGTTCAGCTTTTATTTTATAGTCTGATTAGAATTTAGGATTAGTGTTTATAAAAAAAGAGTATAGGTGGATTTTATTAGGTTTATATTTTCAAATTAAGACCCAAATTTCAGCATCATCTCCGACATTTATTATATTAAGATAATAAACGTACTGTAAGTGTTGATAAAACTCCAGTAGTAATTTGCAAAGATCCAGCCAATGTGTCTACTGCATCAAAAATTGGTTCTTTATCTTCTTGAAGATCTTTATTATAAGTACTTGGAATACCTTTGTACGTCATAAGAAATCCAGACAACTTTTAACAACAAAAAGAAAACAAATGATATAATATTAATAATTGATATAATAATTGATATTTCCATTAGAACAAATTAATTTTCGGGTTCGGTTGTTACCTGTCCAAAGACACGTCCAGATTTGCCGCGCAATAACTCGCAACTGTCAGGATTTTTCTTTTGTGGCATAAGGCTACTTCCAGTGCTATAACAGTAATACGTGGTCAACATAATTCGTCACGTGAATTACTATTATAAGATGATACCCGTACCTGTAAGCATCTGCGAGGGTAACGAAGCCAAATTCGCCAGAGCCGTAAATAATTAAATCCTCAGAAAATCTACTAATGTGAATCATTGTCATTGAAGCCCAGAATAGTAATTCAGCAACGAAATCCCGATCGCTAACACCACATAAGCTATTTTGAATAACACCTTTGAAAATAGTAGATCTTTTATTTTATTGACAAGTTTTTTTTATAAATTATACTAATCTTAATGACAATAACCAGAATTACTTTGTTTGTAAAATGAGCTACAATAAATTAATTGTTAGTGAAATGAATTTGTTGATAAATTAATTATTAGTGAACTAAAATATTAGTAAAATTATTATTGATAAAATGAGCACTACTATATAGAATTAGATTTAGATTATTGTTTTAAAGAGAAGTATAGTTTATAAGAAAAAATTTCTATTTAAATATAGTTAAAAATTTTTTTGAAATAAAACTATCTTGTTATAGTTTTACTAACTAGCTTAGTACAATCTTTGATATAGATAATAGTTTTAATCAATAAAGCAAACTATATATGGATATCTATAAAGAAAGCTAAGTAATATCAAATCTGTAATTTAAATTGTTTAGGATATACTTGTATATTTGTTTTGATCTAATAAAGATATCAATAAGGCTGCTAATATAAAAAAAAAATATTATTGACTTATTGCCAATATGATACTTATAAAGAAAAGATTATAACTAATAGTTTATAAACTAAAAATATATTTATTAGCTTAAATAATACTCAAAAAATAATCACAAATAAAGCAAAAATATAATTCAAAAAAATAAAATATAATTTTAATTGGTGATTCACTAGTCAGCCAGCGAGAGATCATAGTGTAATATGATGTAGTTTATTTATAAAAATTAGGGTTTTGCGAATGTGGGCTGCATTATTCTAAAACTTTTTTCATACTAAATTAACCATCTTTGGGCTTCTAATTGAAGTTATAGAGCTCATTGAGAGGAATCTAATAGTGGTTAAATCATTAAAATTGGGCTTGTGAATCACAAGATATCTTTGAAAAATGGTTTACCGACTATGTAAAATTCTCTTGACAATACTATTGTCGAAAGAGAGAATTTTACATAGTCAGTGAAATGTTTTTCGAAAATATCTTATGATCTACAAGGCTAATTTTGATAATTCAACCACTATTAGATTTCTCTCAATGAGCTCTACAACTTCAATTAGAAACCCAAAGATAGTTAACTTAGTACGAAAAAAAGTTTTAGAATGATGTAGCCATATTCGCAAAACTCTAATTTTTATAAGTAAACTACATCATGTTACACCATAACCTCTCACTGGCTAACTAATGAATCACCAATTAAAATATTACAGAAAAGAAACTTATTTCTAACAAAGATTATACAAAAATAAGATTTATTTATAATATAAATTTAATAACAAAGATAATAAAAAGTTTATTTTTAAAACAAAAATATATAATTACAAGAGTAAAATAATTAAAATATATAGACCAATTATTAAAAACTACTAAAAAACAAAAACCATCTTATTGTTTTAGAGAAAATATAGAGATTTAAATATCTTCTTCAGAATATTAAATTACTATAAAAACATAGTAATTAATTAAAAAAAAAGGTACAAATAGGAGAACTCTTTCCCGTACATCACTAAAATTAACTCCAATATGGATATATATCAAG